TACTGCTTCCTAGCAAGTTCGCCACGATAAACATGCCCATACCAATCTGCCATCTCCTCCTTCGGTATGGTGGTCGTCGAATATCATGGGGTCCCTTTTCGTCTTCGAGTATATGCGACTTTCGTTGTAGGGTCAGACCTAGACTCTGAACACTGGTCGATAGCAGTCCGACAATAATTCCAAGCTATAGTCGCCAATATTAGCACTTTCATCCATTCGCACAGCGCTGTACACGACGTACAGCTATGCTCCCTCCAGAAGAGATGCCACCAAGCAACCCCATTGCGCCTGTGCCAGGTCCGAGGTCATCTGGCAAGGGAGAGTTGAGGCGAATTGTTGAGACGTCGCATAGGCAGTGTATTTGGCACAGGGATCGCTTGGTGTTACTGGACTAGTAAAGGGTGCATTCGGTTCGATAGGTTCAAGGGGAATGGCTGGTTGAAGCGCTAGTCGTAGGTAACGCAGGAGACTGTTGAGCTGGCGCCAATGGAGTATTTATACCAGTTGATGCCTATTTGACAGAGGACCAAACGATATAGAGAATGAATATGAATACTGAGTTTGATGCGATAAACTTATGTCTTGGATTGAAACTAATGAATAGAAAGTCGGAGGCGGACAAGCTTGAGTCGTGCGTGGGACACCTGACGTGAGTAGAGCAGAGTAGAGAGGCATGCAGCTCTAACACGGGACTAGTTAGCCACTGTGGCGGTGAAGTTACATAATGCATATGCAACCAAACATATAAACATTCAGCTGCTGTCGAGTAATGACACTGGATTTTAAAAATTATTTAACAAAGTTTCTTCCCACAAAATATACATTATCCTTTCACGAACTCTAATGTATCTTACGTTGAGGCGTGAGAACGAGACTCTTTGTTGAATGGCTGTGCTACCTTACGTAGCATACTCTAAACAGTGGAGAACAACTGTGGCTTGACTACCTAACCCCCCAGCTCCAGTCAGTTCCCTGCTGGAGCACAGTAAGATACAGCTAAGGAGCTGGTAGGCTGGGTCTTGGAACGGCTGGCGTCACATACACAGCTACCAACTCCATCATAGTCCATCGCCGACCTTGACCTTCACTAACAAGAGGCCATCGCCAGCCTTTTACCACTTCAACCTTGACCCTAAAAAGGTCTTTCCTTATCATCCTCTCGCCTTTCGAATCTTAAAAAACCATATAAATCTGCCCATCATGTCGCAACACGCCTTGTCCGACCAGCAGGTACGCATGCCCAAACGACGCAATCCCTCGTTCATCTCACCAGTCCTCTAATTCTAACGCGCGGTTCTCCCACAAATAGGTCAACAATGAGCTCAGCAAGATGACGGCGTTCATCAAGCAGGAAGCCATGGAGAAGGCCCGCGAAATCGAGATCAAGGCCAACGAGGAGTTCGAGATCGAGAAGTCCAAGCTCGTCCGCCAGGAGACAGACGCCATCGATAGCCAGTACGAGAAGAAATTCAAGCAGGCCACCATGTCCCAGCAGATCACCCGCTCAACCGTTGCCAATAAGACGCGACTCAAGGTCCTCGGCGCCCGCCAGGAGCTGCTCGACAACATATTCGAGGAGGCCCAGAAGAAGCTCGCCGAGGGTGCCAAGGATAAGGGCAAGTACCAAAAGGCCCTCAAGGGTCTCCTGCTCGAGGGCTTCTATGCCCTCAACGAGCCCGAGCTCCAGGTCCGCGCGCGCAAGAAGGATTACGACGTTGTCAAGAAGGCCATCGAGGAGGCTGCCAAGGAGTTTAAGAAGGAGCTTGGAAAGGATATTACGGCAAAGATCCAAGAGGACGACCCTCTCCCCGAGGGAATGTACGTGAAAGCCTATCCCAGAAGATCCCTGAGGTGGGCAGCTAACAGAGTATTAGTGCTGGCGGCGTGGTTGTTATCAGCGGAAATGGAAAGATTGACATTGACAACACTTTTGAGGCGAGATTGCGACTCTTGGAAGAGTCTGCTGCTCCTGCAGTACGAGAGGCTCTATTCGGCAAGAATCCTAACCGCAAGTTCTTCGACTAAACCCCATTGGCCACCATAAATATCTCTATATGGGAGCCTCTACGTACCGCTTCCATGAGTGCACGACTGGGGAGGCTCTTCAACCATTCGCGACCCGCATTGTTCATCAGTCTGCGCTTGTAGTTTAGAAGCTGTGTATTGTGTTTGACTCTTTTGTCTGGTTTGGGACTTGGCCCTCGGTAGAATTGATTACACGTTCAAATACTCGCAACAAACAACAGTACCTAGTGAACCATTGTACACCTTCATCCTATCCGCCTATCCCTGTAGCTATCGAGTTAACTTCACATTGACCACGATCGTATCGGCGTCTACTGCTTCGTGGAAGACATCCTCTGATTCTGGTGGAGGTGGTTCAGCCACTTGATCCGGTGCACTTTGCGGTGCTTTCTTGAGGAAGTTCTTCATGTAATTCTGCTGTTTCGGAAGAAAGGGATCCTCCTTCTGACCTGGCAGGTCAAATATGCTCTTCTTCACCTTTCGGCGTGTACGGACTGAGTATGCAAGTCGCTGCTGAACCCATTCTATGACGCTTTTGGCTTCTGTACGAGCGAGTTTCATGCCCGCATCGTTGATCTTTCGCCAAATCTCCCTCAGCCTGACTGCAAGCTCGTCGACATCGCTATTGAACTGTTTTTCCTTCTCCGGATCGTCAGATGGGGTAAATGAGCCGTCATCCACGACGATGTTGAGAAGGATAATATTGGCTTGCAGTTGGGCGAAATCTGTCTTGGGCCCAACAAAGAAGTCCTCGTGATCCAAGAGCTCAATAACGCCACGAATAGTGACTACATGATCGGGATGGTAACGACCCAAGCTTGGGTCGTTGAACAAAAACACTACAGCCAGCCGCCGTCTAAGCTCGTGAGATCTGGTTTTACTAATAGGCAGACACGCGAGAGAATTGGTCCTCACAAATTGTTCTTTGACTAATGTGTGCAGTTGTGTACAGGTTTCAGAGCACTGCATATATGTTAGTCAGAATCTCGCGTACCACCATTAAGTGTAACTCACAAATGTGTCCCAGCCAGGCTGAGGAATAGCTTCGAGAAGGGCATGGATGGAAGTCTCGTAAGTAACCAATAAATTGATCTCATATATCAGGAATTTGTCCATTGACATGCGTAGGAGCGTCCGAGAAGCATAGACAACAGACTCCTGGGACATGTAGGGTGAGATGGCCGTGAGGAGTGATAAGAAGGAGCTGAGAGGTGACCAGTCGCGTCCTTCGTAAGGCTCGGCACTTGGTTTCAGGAGATTCAGCTGAGAATCTTGTTGTTCAAGCTCAGAAGAAGCACCAAATCGATGAAACAACTCCTCCAAACGACGCGGTGTGACAACGCGCGCAACTTCTTCTGGACAGGAGCTGAGTAAGTTGCAGTATTCTCGTCTGACAAGGGTTGACTTCTGAGAGCAAAGCTCATTCAGTATCCATTCGAAAAGCTCATCTGGGAGTCCCCCCTGCATTTGCAAGAGGGTAAGTGGTAGTCCAGAGGCGAGATGTTGCTCGCATGTCTGGTAATCACCTTGAGTCAACAGTCTCCATGGTCCTTTGCTAAATTTCTTGGGGGCAGCTGTGGGGGATGGTATTGTGTATCCTTCACGAAAGAAGCAGTATCGAAGCTGTGAGTGTCCTGGATCTGACCTCTGAACGGCTCTCATAACTTTCTGGGCATCTTGACCGGTGTTGTTCTTGACAATGCCCTCTATCGCATCCCGTGACATCTCGTCTGCTGTCATTTGTTGATCCTGGTTTCCAGCATCTGAAAAGGCCTTGATCTTCAAAGCACTCGCATGGGTCGCATCGTCCTGTCTAGCATCCTTTGCGAGGGCTTTCAGGTCGAATTTGTGCTTCGATATTATCGCCAATGGAGACGCAGGAAACTCGACTGCGGTTCTCTTGGCCCTTGGGGTCGCGAAGGGATTATGAGGAGGAGAACTAGTAGCCTTTCCTGGACGACCTCGTCCGAGGATAGCGGACAGATCCTCCAGCGAATCGTCTGAGGATGCTCCAAGATCATCTTCGTCATCTGAATCTTTTATCTCCAAGTCTCGGGATATTGGTGCTACCTTCTTCACCGGGTTTGCCAACTTTTGTTCCAATGGTGATGAAGGTGGCTGTGGTGATGATGCCAGGTTTGGTGTTGAGATTCTGGGGGCCTTGGGCGTTTGTGATCTTGTCACGGGTTTGAAGAAACTCATAATATTCCCATTTTTACCCTTTTGAGACATGGCGTATCTGATTCGATAGCCAGAGCTTGTTTTGTTTGAAAAAAATGCAGCGAATTATTTCACGAGTCTCCTGATCTTGATACATTCACCTGCAAAAGCGACTGCAGGTACAGGGTGTGTGAAGGAAGTACAAGATGTACTGTAGCTACGACATAGGTACTAACCGCGTTAATGGCTTTAGGTTGAGACGCGTTGATGTACAGTGTGGCTGGTGACTAAGTGTGGCTAATGTGGCTGTCTGGGCAAGGTGACCGACCTAGACGCTGACTAAGACGAGTTATGAATAGTATCATCATCATGCGACCGTGTCTAGTACTTAAGCCTTAGAGCAATCTCTAAAACGGCTTCTAAAAGCAGTTACAGATTTCATCTTGGCCGCTGACTGACCTCACTGACTGACCTCACTGACTGACCTCACTCTACAAATGTAGCCATTTCTAGATGTGGCGCTTCGTCAAATGGGCGGCTAAAAGGAATGGTGACAGTTTTTGGCCTGTGGCCCCCTTTCTCTGCACAAGAGTTTCCAGAAGAGTCCCCCTCTTGGTCATCGGTCTTCTAGTCCACAGCATTGACCAGGCCTTTATCACGGTGCAGACGTAATGCTGTTGTTTTTAGCTCAGTGGTTCGTGCCCCAAGATACGCGGCGTGTGCGGGATCAAGCCTCATAATCTATCAACGACACATGGGTGTTTCGTCCATGTAGACTGTGGTTGAGAAAAGGGGTTTATGCGTTTAATGCCAACACGGCCGAGATCGCTGGAGAATGATCGTCGGAAATGGAGCCTTATGTTCATTACAGCATTTCGTCTCTGATTACTGCACAAATCATAGTGCAGTATTGAGATCGGGGGTGTCTGGTATGCGACCCTAAGATGTTGACTTACACCCTAATTCATTCGGCATTGGTTTAGTGCAACTAGATATTGGTGCCACACAGCTGTTGAAGAAGGATTAGGACTAATACGATCAAATTGACTGTAAGCTGTGATAGATATCATTTCGGTATCCGAGACTGACAGGAGTCTAGGACTATTGTTATACTGCTTCTTGTTAGATGATGACGCCTGAATACGACAGTGGGTCATTTGCGAGCCGGTCTCAGGCGTCCAATCCAAGGCTGACGCAGCACAGCCCAGCTCGGCGCGTTCCATTCTTTGCTTCTGAAAGGTTGGATCAGAAGTGATGGATCATATGGATCCTTCCATCTCTCTAGCCTGGGCAGTCCTTGCGTTGATAAAAATGCACTCCAGATTAAACATTAGATGTTGAACGCTTGACTCAGGTGATACGACCAGATGCTTATATGTCGTACAAACAAAACGAGCTAACAGAGGCGATGACATTTCATCATTCTTGAAATTTACCCCCGCGATCACGAGGTATATAGTTGATTTCGAACAGTCGATATGATCTTGGCGATCTAGTTTTACTCGTGATTTTTTGACAACCCCTGGGGAGTCCTGTCACTGGAAATTTGGACCTGCAGATGGTAGGCTCAGGAGAGGAGACCCCTAACAAGGGTCCTCTCCAGTTGACGAAACAAGGAGCAAAGGGCACTCGCGTTCCTGAGCGGCGCTGAGCTAAGGCATTAAGACAGGGGGGATGGGTCTCTGTTGTTACTTGCATGTACCCAAGGACAATGCAATGGTAAAAAGCCAAGCATCCATGGTTTTTCGTGATCGGACAGTGCAGCAATGAGGGCAGTCAAGTTGGTGCAATGTAACACTGTAAGAAACAAAGTGCTTCGTACAGAATGTGTGTTTCGTGTTCCCGTCAATCCTCGTACGGGAATAACACAGACTCGAAAAATCGCATCTCCAACTTAAGTACCTAGGCTTGATCGAATTGAGCTTGGAGTCAGGCTGATGAATGATGAAACGTCGATATGATGGCAAATCTCTACTAACCAAGTGGAACCGTAATCCGTCACCGGTGTACCACGGCCGAGGAGAGGCAAGAAAACTGAAGACCTCTATCCTAGGTGACAAAAAGATTTAGGTGAATTTAGTATAGACCGAATCGGCCTTTAGATTGATCTATTTTGGCACCCTGGGTTAAGGTAAGAAAGTTTTCTTGGGGCACGGCGACGCCGCACACAGCACCGTAATGTGTTCCCTGGGCGTTTGTTTGTAAGCCCCGTCTGTTGATTACAAGTGACCGACTGAGGCTACTTTTATTCATCGGTGTCATGTCTGCATCTGCTTATTGATTAGTCCCATTAGATGACAGCGGAGAAAAATCGTGGCGCTTTTTCTCGCTCGTAAGTAAAGTCCGTGAACCCGACAATGCGGAGGTAAAATCTGGACATAACGGGACCTGCGGAGGTTGATGAGAAGTTATATTTCCATCCAAGAGAGGAAGGCGCTCGTACAACCCCGGCGCCTTGATATCTCTGCCAAGATGGTTGTTATAGAATTAAATGTAGGTAGAGTAGGCATGCAAATAAACAAAGGACGCCCCGGGTCAGGAAAGAAACGGAACAGGATAAACCAAAAATAATGATCAAAGTCTGTTTAATGAGGGGCTGATATTCATTCATTGAAGGAACGTGGGGCTCATACTAATAACTCAACCTTGCTGGGTTTCTCTCTATGAGGCAGGGACGCGAAGATCCGGTCGAAGCTTGTTCCTCGGTTGTTTATGAGGCTGTCAAGTGTCTCTCTACCAGGGATAACCTTTCTCACACTTTGACAAGTCAACCAACGATGATAAATATCCTCGCAAAGGAAGAAAGCGGTCTCAGATCTTTGTTACAGCGTTGTATTGTATATCAATAAAGGAGGACGGGGCGAAACCGGATCTTGATGCCGCCAAGCGACCATTGAGATCATCACGCAAGGTTGGACGAACAAAAGAGTGGAGGATCCCGTCTTGAAACATTGCAGCTGCTACCTACGATGACAAGTTCCTTGAGAAGTTGTCATCTTCTGCTCTGACTGCTATGTATGTATATAGTATTGTGCAGCCATCCCCTGACCCTCGTCAGGAGATTTGTGCAGTCACCGCTCACAATTATCTACTTGCAGGTACGATATCAAGAAGATGAACCCGCCATCCGTCGAGCTACCGCAGTCGGTAACGGTCGATTTTCCAGGGTCGCCAACGCGGTGAGGATCAAAAAGATTCGACAATTTATCAAGGGTAGTACTCAGAGAAACCCCGCCCTTTGCGGCTTACATGATCAAGGGGAATTCAAAAAACCCTTGATGACGGTCTCGACAAATAGCCACAATATCTGACCCTTAGGGACTAGTCGTGATGGCTGCAGCGAATAGAAGCTTATCTGATTTTTAAGATGCACACGCTATCGACATCTTTGGTTGGAATGACAACGGTCACGGCCGGAAGGGATTGGTGAAATGCCCGTATGCGGAGTCTATCTACGGAGGCGACGGAGCCGGAGCTTCCATCCATGGACGTACCTAAAGTGAGGTACTCAAGTCTTCAAAACTCACAATGGTTCGTAAGAGCTTAACGAATCTTGACAGAAAACACGCATCGGATATTCAGGGACGCGGTTGACTTGATAATATCCTTGGCAAATCTTAGGCGCGACCTATTGTGAGTTTCCCCCTTTGCAAGGGGTTGGCTGGTGCTTCAAGGGGGCAGCAAATGCCAGCTGGAGGCGTATGCAGCAATAGACCGTAGGAAGTTATTAACAAAGCTCGCAAAGGGCCGAGTAATTTATTCGAAGCTAGGACACAAAAGGTTTCCAGAATGATGCAGATATATTGAAAGTGTTCAGTGTATGTTTGTTGGCAAAATACCGTTACAGCCCAGTTTGTTGTGTTGTTGTGGTCGTAAGGTAAAATAGACCCCTGGCGGACAAGCCTCTGTTGGAGTTTCCCGTCCTCTCCAACTCGAAATGCAACAACAGGAGTGTCGGGGATATGTAGCGGCCGACCACGCCGCGAGACGCATGCATTGAATGCCCGAGGGAGCCGCCCGTGTTCCCAGGGCTGAGGTATGACTGATCTATTCACGTTAGACCAAGATAGTTCTACGCCTAACTGCGGAGAGCAGTATTACAGCACAGTCAAAATTCCCGACGACTTCAGTTAGAACCGTGGCGCCGGCGTTAGTGGACACTGCAGGCCGCTGGGAGGCGGGAGATCCATAGATTCCATTGGATTTGACCGTTACTTACCTACCGCTGAGAACTATCGTGACGGGAGCCAGGGAGTACAGTACTAAGTTAAATCGGTATGTAAGGATGCCCGCAAGTACCGTGCTAAGCCTGGAGCCCGATGAGTAGTAGATACTCAGTTCGTGATGCGTTTTAATGGATGGATAATGACATTGGATGGATAGCAATGCGACAACACCGCCTTGTCAAGTCTGGACAGGTGAAGTCAGGTAAGGTAGGTATGTAAGCACTGGAAAGTAGCTTAGCTGCTAGTACACAATGCGAGACAGCGCATCGCAATCGTGAGAATCCAATCCATCCAATGCAAGCATCCATAGGATCCAAATTTGTATACAGAGTACAGGAGCAGATTCATGGGTACTTAGGGGGTACATTCCGGGCAGATGAAAGAGTGCGTCGGATGGGCCGGGATCAAGACTCCCCACGCACACCCACCCACAAGAAGCCTGCGACCCACGCCCCCGACACCCACTCTCCACTGCCCATTTCCCTTCAACAGCGCTCCTCAGCGAGTCCCAGCAGTTGTCTCGAGCGGGTACCACCCAGAAATGGCTATTCCAGAGTGCTAGAGTCTCAGGCTCTTTGGCGGCCACTCACTTTAACTGGCGGACGGGACGGGGCCCGGGGAGGGTCTCTCGTCTCTCCAAAGTCCACCGTAGCTTTTTTCCCTTGCCGCCCCGTTTCTCCATCCATTGCCTTTGCTTACACAATTCCCCTTGTACCTTCTTCCAGCCAGCCCGTTCTTCTCATCAGTCATCTCGTCACCATCAACAACCTTACCTTTACTCTCTCCACGTTCACCTTCTTGTACTGTCGACGATTTTCAAACGGCCCTGGCGAAGCCGTTTCACACTCGAGTTTATCACATCGTCGCCGCCAATAATAATTCTTGACGAGCAGCTGGTGTTGCTTCAATTGTACCTGCTCTATTCACTTCGACTCTGTACCATATACGCTTAATCAGACGCCTCTCGCTTCTCTCGACCCCGACTTCGACTCGTTCAGTTTCCCCAATCTGGCTGGCATCGAGGGGCCGATCGGGCGCTTGCCCGCGACTTCATCATGACCACAACAACAACCTCTGACGGTCACCTTGATCCGCAGGCCCTCAGTGCTACTCAAAGATCGCGATGGGCCACACAAAGAAAAAGTGTTAACAGCAGTAACAACAAACGCAATTCTCTACTCGAACGCATGGGACATAAGAAGACGGGTTCCAATGAGAAGAATCCCCCCTCCGACGGATCCGACCCTCACGGTGACGATGGCCAACCGCCGCAAGCGAACCCTGAAGACCTGAATGGTGGTGAGGAGGACGAGGAACACGAGAACCGCACCTTGTTCTTCAACCAGCCCCTGCCAGAAGAACTTTTAGATGAAAACGGCCATCCCACTCAAGTCTTCACGCGAAATAAAATCCGAACAGCCAAATATACGCCTCTGTCATTCGTTCCTAAAAACTTGTGGTTTCAGTTCCATAACGTTGCTAATATATTTTTCTTGTTCTTGGTTATCCTAGTCGTAAGTTGACCACCTGGAACCCCTTCAACCTCGCGAGTAACCCTTAACCTTTAAATAGATCTTTCCAATTTTTGGTGGTGTCAATCCAGGTCTCAACGCCGTTCCGTTGATTTTCATTATTGCAGTGACTGCTATCAAGGATGCCATTGAAGATTACCGACGAACTATTCTCGACATCGAACTCAACAACGCTCCTGTCCACCGATTACGAAACTGGAACAATGTCAATGTTATGGAGGGCGACGTTTCTATGTGGCGTCAATTCAAGAAGGCTAACTCCAAATTCTTCGGTTCTATCTGGCGAGCAACTCAATCTCTGTGGTCCAAGAAGGCGAAAGAGGAGAGGGCGAAGCGGAAGGCCGGTCCTGGGGAGGATGATGCCCCTCGACCTTCAGTCGAGACGCACCGAACTCGTCAGTCCATGCGACAGTCCATTGCATCGCCTTTCACCGGTCGCGAGTCCTTCATGTCCGCCCGAGAGGATATTCAGATGACCCCTGTTCCATCGCCTTCACCTCAGGCCACACCTGCACAATTTGAGATGCCTGACCAGCAAGATGCTAAGCGCGCAGCAGCTCTGT